ATTTTATCTCAGATGAAAAATACACTAGACTGTGAAGAATTGTATACTATATTTTTATTGCCTCTAAGAAACGTTATCATATAAGATTAATCATTTTCCTTTACCTAACAGTGTATGCCAACAATATATTCATTATTATGAATAACATCGTATTTTATCTTCAAATTTTTGGAAAAAAATAAACACATAACCATGTTGTTTAGAATAGTTTGATATATTTGTATATGTATAGACCATTGAGTGACTCACAAATTGACATGAGACATAATCTCATGACCTCTTAAAATGAGAATCTCACAATACAAGTGTGTATTTAGAAAGGTGATCAAAATTCACAAGTAGAGGCATTACAGTATGTATATTTACTCAACTTATTAAAATTGAGACTTTTGAAATATCACTCCTTTACTGTAAACAGTAAAATCTATTTCAGAGAAATAAAAACCTTATTATAAATTCACCTTGGAAATTATTTTCCCTTATACAAGCCCTAAAGATTTTTACCCCATTTATATTAAGGGTTATTTTAGAAAGGGTTTAATACAGATTACTCAGATGTATTTTATTTTTCAATAAGCTATCTATAACATATTTTTAATATGCCTGCCAGGTCCTTTCTTCAAATGACTGATTACAGCCACGGTGCAGATGTACACATAAACGAGCAAGGAAAATTCCTATCTACTGCTGAAAACCATCGCAGCAGTGTTCTCAATGAAATAGAGGATTTTATCATCTGATTGGAGGATACATGAGCAAGAGATCAGGACGGTGGGTCTTTCCTAGTTTCATACGCAGAAAAAAAATTCTAGAACTCTTTGGAAGAATCTATTGAACCATGAAACAGTGATGGTTTACATTTATAACTGGGACATATTTTTAAGTGATTTGGAAAATTAGTGCAACCGTTACAACAAATGGTTGAAAGGATAAGACAGAATGATCCATTCATTTTTAAACAGCACCCCCTTATGTGGCTCATTGGACATGTGGCTGTCATTATGGTAACAATTTGTTACAAGCACTGCAATGACACTTGGCATGGAGCTAGGTCTACCCGCCATGCCTCAAGCCCAGCCTGCGCCACATTGTCTGTCAGTGGTGACTGCATTGTCAACTGGAAAATGTGCCACAGATCTGTCCACATCCTGCTTCTCACTTTAAGACATGCTTACTTCATCTAAAATATTTTCAGTTATTTTAAATTATGAATAAGAGTAAACAGAGGTAGATTGGACCTGGCAAGGATAGAGGGGGACTGAGAAAACCTGAAAATTATCATAACATACTATCATCACTAAAAAAAGTACTACACGAGTTTTGTAGAATGCTTCTAAGATAGGCAATTAATAACACGCACGTTGCTAAATCTTCGTAGCCTGCAAAACTTCATTTAGATCTCTCAATAAACGTTAAGTCCCATTTCCCAGATTAGGAATTGGAGGCTCAAAGTGACTTCTCCAAGTTTACAAACCAAACAAATGAACCTAGATACTTAAATTCAGACCTTTTGAATGCACATCTTGGATTTCACCTGGTCACAGGCTAACCCAGGAAGATATATCCAATCAACCAATATTTACATGATAAAAGTTCCCAAAATAGAAAGTAGAGAACATGTGTTCCAGCTATTGGCTTGATATCCAGAAAGTCAAAGAATTTTCTAAATTAATGTTGTCTACTATCTGCTTTCCAGATTTTTAAAAATGCTTATAATTTGTTAGAAACAAGAGCATTCTGTGTTATGTGTTTTGTGCATGTATGTGGGGAAAATATATAAGGGACAAAAAGATCCAGGTTTTTAACACTTCTATCAAGTGTTAAAATTTAATATTGTTACTATTTAATATATATAACGCTATATTAAATAGTGTTACTATTTAATATTGCTTAGAGATTATGAACTTATATTTTATATTCTTGGTAAGTATCTAACCATGTAATTTAAAACATTTCTGTTCTGTGGGATTTTCTATCTAATACATTCAGTGGTTACTGATCACAGTCTGATACTTGCCTACCATTCGCAAAAGGGATCAAAACTTTTAAAAATAATTAGGAATATATAAGCATTTTCTTATCTTTTAATAAAAACATGTTTAAAAGAGAAAGAAAAACTATGTTTAAGTTACAAGTACATTTATAGTCCTTTACTATCCTACAAAGCAAGAGTGGTAATGTAAAGAAAGAATTCGCTATTAATATTCTGATATCCTATTTTGGCTCCAAATATCTGCATTTAAAAACCAGTATTTGAACTTTCCAAGCAAAACTAAATGCGGCCTCTTAGCAAAAAACTGCTAGAATTCTTGTTTAATGTAATGCTGAATGGACTATTGATAAGAAATGCTTATACAGAATACTTTGTCTCTCTCCAACAGATTATACTTAGGAAACCTGAAAATACTTCATGAGAAGTAAGCAAAGTAGAGTTTGTGGAATACGTAAATGTAATTTTGGGGGAGGGAGGCAGTTTTACACAGCAAAGAAATTCTAAATAGAAGGAAATGACATTGTAGATAAACTATAAAGAATTCTATTATGCTTAGTATTATCAAAGAGAAATGAGAAGATTTCATTAGCTAAGCACATTTAGCAACTCACATATTTGAATATTAAATATTCAGATAAAGCATTCTTCAGGAATATTTTCAAGAGTCTTTCTCATTCCATAGACAGATTTCAAAGTCAGATTTGTGACTTTAAAAATCTTGTGATACTGTCACAATTTCTCATCTACATGAGTTGTTCTTTGCTTATTTTAACATATTATCCAATGGTCATAAAATAATTCAGAAACTCCACAAGGGTATTTAATGTGAATATTATAATAAAATCAGTCATTTTGTCCATTTCCCCTGCAATTATGAAAGAATAACCATTGACATTTGTTGAAAACAATATTCAAGTGATTAAACTTACATTACTTTGCATTCTTCTCAGGTAATCAATCATCCTAGGAATGCATGGTCTCTCAGTGTTGTCTATACATCAGAATGATCTGGGTTTCTTTAAATTTCCAGTGCGCCAATTACAGCTTAGACTACCTAAATCCAAAATCTGGAGGTGGGACCCAGATATCCACATATTTTAAAGCTGTTCTAGGTTATTCCACTGTGTATCCAGGGTTGAAAAACACTTTTCTATACATCATCCCTGAGACTTTGAATTATCTTGTAAAGGAAAACTTTCCATGGAGGCATTTCCCCCACTCCTTGCTTCCTTACACATCACAAAAGACAAATGTTCTTACCATACAATCATGGCTCGATAGAAATTATTTCTAAAGGACGACTGTGGCATCATACTTTTTATTTGGGACATTATATCCTCATGTCACATGACAGTTACTATCATTGGATGCTGATGTGGAAATGGCCACCTACCCAAGCTAGTGTAACCATGGAACCAGCTCAAACTGATTTTATCCTGCTTCTAACAGGATACTGAGTTGCTTTTCAGAGACAACAGACCAAAACCACAAGTTATGCAGCCGAAGCCTGTGCAGAGGAGGGAACTTTGACCTCCAGCGGCAACCAGAACCAAAGTCTTGTCTCCCTCCACAGAACCCAAAGGACCGGGACATGACTGGAAGCTGAACACTGGAACCCTTTCCGAGGCGAAGGGTCTGTTGTCCAGGAAGGTCTGATGCTGAAGCCCTTGACTTTATCTTACCATAAAGTGGCCAAGTTCCGAAGCCCTCCAGTCAACACCTGCCCTGCCAGAGCTTCCGCATACCAGCCTGTTCCCCTAACCCCTTAAAACCTGCCTTGAACCCTGGGTCAGGGAGACAGATTTGAGCCTGGCCTCCTGACACCTTGTGAGTTAAAATTAGCAGTAAAAGCTTTTTCTTTTCTCAAAAGCCAGTGCCACAGTGTTGGTCCCTATATGCATCAGGCACCAGGCCCTTGCTTCACTCCATATGCCAGAAGCTCTAAACTCTGGCTACTCACAAAGAGCACCTGAGACTTTAAAACATACATTCTCCAAGAGTAGATCCTGATCAGGTTAAAAATCCTCAGCACTCTTCTTAATACGGTGAAAAACATAATTTAAAATGTGAAATTCCTCCCGCTTCTCCTCATTTTTCTTCTTGTTAAGTACTGATGGCTTTACTTGATTTTGGTTATGGCTGCTTTTTAAAACAAACTAAAATAGAGCCCTCAAAAGTTAGTATTTTAAAATAATTTATTCAAGTGTGAATATTTGATTGAATTGAATACACATAATTTTCCAATGTAACAGATATTTTAGGATTAAATGGGTGAAACTTTTAAAAATTTTCCTCTCATAATAAAAGAAAAAAAGTGAACATAGATCTGTAATAATTTCCTATAAGATCCTAAACCACTCTTATAGGAAATTTCTTACCACATATCTATTATTTCTTCATAATTTCAATATTTTATTCAAATGGAAGATCTCTATTTTTAAAAGTGTTATCAATATCATTAATCTAATTTCTACTTAAATGATTCTGGTTTAATGGGTCTAGGTATGCCTGGCACCCGTATTCTTTAGAGCCTCCTCAGGTCATTCAGATGCATAGCCCAGACTGAGACCCATTGCCCTAAGCCTTGGATAGAAACAGCCATCTGAGAAAAGGAGTCTTTAGTCAGTCAACAAGAATGAATGAATGAATGAATGAACAAATGAATAAATAAATAAATAGCTTCCTTGAATATTTTTAATAGACAAATATTGAAAAGTGCATATACCCCAGAGAGAGTAATATTTAAAAATAGTTAGAAATGTTTGGGAGGGGATGCTCAGTGGGGCGCCTGATGTACTCCAGAGCTATGGCTTGTCTTCCATTTTCTTCTTCCTCTTTGTTTTATTTTTTTTTTTAAGAAAACCATTTTTCTATCTTACTTTTCTCTCCATATATAAGTGGTCAGTAACTACTGAGTGGTGCTTCATCTAAACAGGCCTGGATTGAAAATGGGACTGGCTCCTAGCAAGAAGTCGACCGTGTCTTTGTCTTTCTGACAATGACTCACCCAGATATTCCCGTCTTGATGATAGGGTTTCCAGTTTCTCCCCGTGTCACTGTAGAGCATGCGGTATTGGGTCACCCAGTCCGAGCTGCTGTATCTTCCCTGGGTTGCAACGGCGCTGATCTGCTTCCGATTGCCAAAGTCAACCTGAAGCCATTGATAATGGTCACTGTCAGATGGAGACCATCCTCCAGCACCTGAAGAAGGTAGAGACAAGAAGAGAAAATAAATATTTGAAGTTAAACTTCTATAACTGACAATGGATTATTCTTCATCTTTTACTTGGCATTGACAGTGCTCTGTTTCACAGATACATTATGAAGTGTCCTTTACAGATGCCACTGAGACTTCAACTAACAGTCTTCCAGCTGGGTAACACTGATACTCTAACCTCTTTATGGTGTAATTATGTGCTCGTTTTCTCCAGAGCAAATGTCTTCATAATTCCTCAATTAGCTCTTATTAGTACATGTCAAAGTATAATTGGCTGAGGTTTGATCAATTTACTATGAATTCTTCAACCAAAAATCACAAGGAAAAATATGTAACAATCTATTAATTCCTCATGTATAGTTTATCTTTTAGTAGATTATAAATGAAACAAAAAGAAATATTACACAACTCTAAAATATATATGCTTTAAAAAGTTTGGAGTTCAACAGATACTAGCAATTCTTAAGATGAAGTCTAATCTTACATTCAGCCCTTGTATTCATGAGAACTAAGGAATATAGTAGATCAGGCAATGTATTTACTAACACTTGAGAGATAAACAACCAATGACTCTTGATAATCACATTTCTAGGAATGTGATTATCACATTTCTAGGAATTTGAGTTATTAAATGAAATGAAACTTCCTTTGGTAAAATATAATAAATGGCAAATAGCAAGAATGCAAAAATATTTATTAGAAAAATAGCACTAATATAGAACAAAAAGACTCTTAATTTATAGCACTGTGTAAAATAACTATGGTCGTACATAAATACATTACAGAAAATATGGCATAACGCTTAGTGCTAACAGGCAATATAATTTTTTTGCATAAGTTTGGCCACTAATAGAAGTAAATAATAGAAAAATATTCATAAATTATCCATTTTATGGTACTCCAAAATATGTGCATCACTTTTCAAATAATGAATTTAAAGCTGACAAACTAATTTATTCAGTGAGGACTAAGCTAATAAAAATGATTTTGTAAATCATCACAGATGTAGCATTCTTTTAATGATATTTATATGGCTTATTTCTGCTTTCAGCTGTTAGAAGAGCTCTCCCACCACAAAAAAATTATAAACCTGACAAAATATATAAAATTACCCTTTCTACGTTTTGGACAACAGACAGTGCAGGACCCTGATTCATGAGAGAAGATAAACAAATGAGGTGAGCACTGCCAGCCTCCTGGCTTTCTGCCTGGTTCATGTTCTGGATCATGGCACATGGGAGAGTATCCCAAACAGAAACCATAGCATCTCTGAAATGGAGCCAAATCAGAATCAAAGCTATTGAGGAAAAGAATTTATGGGACATTGTACTAGAGAAGGGGCAGCTGTGCAGAGAAAGCGCTCTGGAAATCTGCATAGGATTGCCTAAGAGTCTCCGCAGTTCGAACTCTGGGTGAACACCAGACTGTGTATTTGCAGACCAAGACTCCATAAGGCCAGGTGGAGAGAGTTCTGAAGTGAACAATCACCAGAGGATGCACAGGGCTGGGACTAATTTGATTTCACACTAGACAAGATTGAGAGAACTTGATGAACAACCTTAGGCAGTCATGAGAGATCTCAGAAAGGGATTAAAATGTTTTTGTTTTTTTGTTTCCTGAAACAAGGGCTACTCTAGACACATCTGAACAAAAGTTGGTAACTAGCCTAAAAAAAAAAAAAATCAATCTGACTCATAAATAAATTAACTCCTTGCTCAAACAAAACCCATTAAGGAAGGCCATGAAAGATTAGAAACTCAACAACATAGCATCCATAATGTCCAGAATAAAAATTTTAAAAAGTACTAGACACTCGACGAAGCAGGTAAATATGAGTCCTAACCAGAGAAAAATCAGTCAATAGAAATAGATTGAAAAATGACAGGGATGATGAAATCAGCAGACCAGAACTTTAAAACAGAGATTATAAATTAGTTCCAGTATTTGAAAGACAATATAAATATCAAAGAAACAAATATGGAGAAAAGAAATAACGAAAGAGAACAAATGGAAGTTTTTGAACTGGAGGGGTCCTCACGGTCTCAAGGCCCCCTGCAGAACTGGTTGAAACCCCCTTTGCGACTGCATTGTATCTTGACTTCTCCCACAGCCTGGTTCCTCTTCATTCCCTTCCCTTCCCTTCCCTTCCACAGGTCTCACCCTCCAAACACTCCCTAATTAATCCCTAGTGCTCTTCTCCATCTTGGAATTTGCATCCTGCGGAATCCAGTCTGTAATACCTCCTGAATCACTTTGCTCATAATCTGCTCCCTAACTATATGAGTTACTTGTCTTTGCTTTGTATTTTGTGGGCTTTTATATGCTATTTTTTTGTGTGTGTTTTAGTATCTAATAGTTCTTATAGCCATATATTATCCACATGCCTATTTTACCCAGAATTCCGTAAAATTTTGGAGGAGCCATAGATAAATTTCTGGGATGACAATGTACCCAGTCATCAAAAGGTTATAAATTTATTTTCCTATCTGTTCAATATATGGTTCCAAACTTAGGAGAAATTCTATAGTTAATTGTGTATAAAGTTCTATCTGTGAGTTACTAAAAGCAACAGGTGGTTTGATCATTGAAATAAACAAGCAATTAGTACAATGAGTGAAGAGAAGAAAATATGTACAATTGTTTGTTAAAATTTAGAATATTTTCCCTAACTAGTCCCGAAAAAAAAAATTCAGAATAAATTTTCTTAAATTACCCAATTTTTGGTGTATTACAATTTTTTCAATATGGAAGCAATTAACATACAACTATTTAATTCCATTGATCTCATCACTAAAAAATTGAATTTACTGACATCTCTAAGGGAGGCAAAAACTTAAATGAAGTAAAAATATAAGTTAAAACTTATTCCTTAGTAGAAGTGGATGTGGAGAGAATAGTGAGTAACCTCAAGGGGAGGGCAAATGTCAGGCTTTCATGAGGAGCATGGTAGAAAGATCGATGAGAAGTTTCTTGTTTCTCTTTGATCTATCAAGCAATGTAATTTGGAGAAGTTGATTACTTTGTTCATTTGGCTTGTGAAATGTATAACCTCTATTGATCCAAGGATTAAGAATGATAACCCTTCATCAACAAAACCTTAGGAAAATGATACATCAGAGAGTAGAAGTGCTCCCCAATATATCGGGGGGTGTAGAAGAGGGCAAACGTGTTCCCAGTGGATATTGCAGTAGCTCGAAGGGAAAAAAAAAAATGGAAAGTTGAAGAGGAGGTAGAGGAGGTGGTGATTTGTGAATAGCAGTAAACTCTAAGAAGACCTAAGAACAACTCTTATCTAGAAATAACAGAACCAACAATATCTAGTAGAAAATTAGATATAAATTCTTAGAGTGACTTGAAAGATGTGTACTATATAGAACTTTTAATACGCCCTAAACAGTGAGGATATTGTGTTTTCTCTCTCACACTCTCTCCCTCTCCCCGTCTCCTTCCACCTCCCTCTACCCACTCCCTTTCTCTCTCCTTCTCTCTCTCACATACACACATCCCTCCTCCTGTGCATGTACACATATGTATGCGTGCACGTATGTGTAAACTATGAAGATACATAGTGTTTGTCTTTTAGACACTCACTCTACTGGGGTACTTGAGTGATAAATTATAACTCAAGAGAATCTGGAGAAGTGGATGAAACTAGCACTCTATAAACTTAGTGATAACTTATCATTATAATAGCCATTTCTGCTGTGTAATTTGTAAATTAGGACCTCTGAGAGAAAAAAGGGAACTTAGTGGGTGGTTCAAGAGAGAACATGGAGCTTCTTTTCTAGTGATAAATGGCTCCCGTGTAGACACTAACTGGGCGGGTGTTACACCACCAGAGACTATAAGCCTCGAGTCTTAAACGTTTTTAAAGGTAGAAAAATTTTCAATTAAATATAGAACTATTTTTAATAACTAATTGAGATATATGTATCAGATGAGAAGAATACATTGAAAAAGAGACTTTCAGGCAAGATGGTATGATGAGTTCAGGCTTGGTGGCCTCCTTCTGCTCTAAATACATAAGATTTTTCGATAAGATAGATAAAAAAGAAAATTGAGAAAACATTGCCAGGATCAAAAATAAGATAAATTATCTCCATGCACGAGAAATGCAACCCAAATGCAAAATAACGAGTAGGACCGAAGCTGAGGCCTGCTGGAGTTGGGGTCTGGGAACACACAAAAGAAGAGGGGCATTTGGCTCCTGGGGAATGCTGGCGAATGCAAGTCTACTGTGTGTGTCAGAGAAAGGAACTGTGGGGTCAGGGAGGAAAACCAGGAGTAGCTTAGGACCAACTTACCTGAAGAAAAGAGGCTGAAACAGCTACTACTGACTTGGAAACCTGGCTTATATGAAACTATTCACCCAAAGAAGTTAGAAAGCAGGCATATCTGAGCCAAGGAAAGGGACCCACTGGCTTGTCCCCTAATAACACTGCTAGGCAAAGGCACCGGGTCATCCATGAAAAATGTGTTTCTGGATCGGGAATCTGGGACGCTGAATAGAGAAAGTCACAAAACTACAGAGCAGAAAAGGAGTTGGGATGGAGGAGACATTCTGGTTGTCAGAACAGTGTACGAACTAGAATTTCAAATCATCAGGAAAAAAAAATGCTATAAAAGTCAGTGAATAAAGTCAAAAGTTCCATGCAAATTAACTCTAGATGTACAGCAATTGAGGGCCAGTGGAAATCGATGTTTTAGGTTCTCGAATGTATGAAATAAGTAATGCCATCCATTAAAAATAGCAGTAATGATCAGATACAACAGGGAGAAATAAAATATTTATAAAAAGATCCAAAATGTGATCTTGGAAATAAAAAATATAGTCATTGATAGAAAAATACCTAATCTGAGGAAAATTCACAAATTACGAATTACCTCACAAATAACCAGCCAGCTGAAAGGTAATACTGAAGGATTCATACAGAAGTCACCATAGAAAATACAAAATAAGTTAGAATTCAAGAACATCTGCTTC